AAACGGGGGCGCTTAGAAGGAAGGAGGCGTTTAAAAGGGAGACGCGTTTATTCTCATAACTGTAACAAGCTCAACAAAACTAATATACTTTCGGCGGAAATATCAATATTAAAATATCGTAGTAAATAAAAAAATAACGGAATATCCAATCCACCAATTGATACGTCTAGACCGTCTAGAGATCCATATCGCTCTTTCAAATCCCAACATCGATGTCAGAACGCTTGCTCAGGGTTATTGTGTTGCTATCGTTAGTCTATCCTCAATTTGAACTTGACATTGAACAAGATGAAATACCGCCGCAAAGCCTTGTTCATCAAGCAAGAAACTGAAGGAATTTAATGATTTTGCTCCTTTTTGCTAATTCCTAGTATTTTGGAGTGATTCTCAAAGGAAGCGTCTATTAAACTTTATTAGAGAAGGGCGTCTGATACAATTTTATAGGCGTAGAGGAGGCGTTTATTTAAAGGCGGGCGTTGATTAGGTCATTTACGGTATGCATCATCTGATTTTCAAGACAATTCTTTGCTTCGTCCATCACAGAAATCACTGCGCCGTGTAACTTAGTTTCTTTCTTTCTATGGCTATCGCGTAAACTTAACACGTCCCCAGTCCCCCTCTGAAGGAGCTTCCTACGGGATTTACAGCAATACCTAAGCAACTTCAAAGATATAAACGACATACAAAGAAAACTCCTTTAAATCGATTACAATGTTGCTTGGAAAATTTGACTCGAAAATCTCCTAAGACTGACCTTGGAGTATAAATTTTGAAGATTCAGTATTTCCTAAAATGAAAAAAGAGAGTGACAGGGAGGAGTTTGTGTTCTGGTGGTTAACGACTAGTGTTATTAAGAACAAGAAGATATTTGCAATGTAAAACTGTAAAAGGTTTGAACCCGAAGTCATTTCATAAGTCGGTTTAACATGATCATCCGGGTGAACGTAGTCCTGTATAGGACTGTTGTTGTTGACAGTGACTGACGTTTTGACAACCTGTGCGGTAGTCATCTTTAAGGTCAAAGTGAGTTGTATCACGTCAGTTGATGGTATTAAAGTCTGGTTATTGACATGATTGGTCAGTTCAGAGTCGATGTTATTGGTCGTCTGTCGGTTAAGCCGTGCATGTTATTGGCTATAAAGACTCGAAATGTCATTGGTGCGTTTCTATCCGTCTATTGTCACAGTTTAACAGTCGTTTATTGTCAGTCAAATTGTGCGTTGTCCACTGCGATGTATTGGGAAAGAAAAACAAAGAGGGAAATTAAGAAAGAATACAAAACGGCGAGCGCAAACAAAGAAAACAAAAATAAAATATTTTAAGCCAGTTTGAAACGTGCAGAGATTAGTGGATATTAAGGATATCTGCGCCCAGACTGTTAAAAATGTAAAGGCATCACTGAGGCCATTTGATCGACTCTTTTTTGCGGTTTCATGCTGTAGCAACTGGTCCCTGATCGGGACTAAAGCTAACAACAGAACAGGCGCTAAGGGAAAAAGTCATTGGAAGAAAAGATAAGCTAGACCTTTTATAACTACGGTGCATTTATGTCCGACTGCCACTGGTTAATTAGAGATGTTGTGAGATGCAGTTCAGCACAGACTTAGTGTCCTCAAAAGAAACGCTGCGTTAAAGCATCGACAAACTGTTTCTCTCGAGACAAGAGATTCATCATCAACCACTGACCACATATTGAACGACATGTTCACCCGACTAGCCCATAGCGTTTTCGATAATTTTAAATCACCTTTTGGCTTGCCTTTGCCTTAACTTCATCCGCGCTGCTATACGAGTCTTCTTCTCCTTTAAAACTTCCAACAAAACCAGCTAGAGACAAAAACAACACAAAATAACAACTGCGTTACACACGAAGTGGGAAATGCAATTCAGTCCCCGCGATATTTCTTTTGAGATATAAAATCCATTGTGGCGTTTTACAAACCGAGTACAAAAGCTACGACTTTCAAGTTTGTTTCTCGCGGGACTCGCTGCGTGCAGTGCGACTTTTACGCGGGAAATTTCATAACCACTCCTCTGATTGGTTGTTTTACCGTAGGACTTTGAAACCCGAGTAAAACACCTCCGTGGCTTTACAGTCGCTTCTTTTGACCGTTTTGACGCTGCCATGGTTATGGCCCACGATAAATTTATCTCCGAAAGAAGCGGACAAGCGTTCAGACGCAGTTTTCTTTGATCTTATGTACAAGAACTTTCGTGGCGGGAAAAATGACCTAGTGTAATTCGGTCTGGTTATTCCGTGCCGTAATAAAATCAACTGAAACCCACCTGTTGGCAGAAAGGGCAGAACCAGTCCCCCTGTGGCACCGTTAGCAGAGGGGGACGAAGGCAAGCTGTATGATAGGCGGCGTCACACTTGTCACACAGAAGAATCTGTAAGATAAAATTGACATAGTCATTAAAAAGGCAGATACAGACCAATTTGTAAACATCGCGGCATAACTGCAGCTAGAGTTAATACGGTCAAATGACAATAAAGAATTCATTATGATTATCAAACAGGTTGTCAGAACGCCAGTCACTGTCAACAGCAGTCTTATTCAGGACTACACTCGGCAGAAAAGTCTTATTCAGTTTACTATAAATGACATGTCTCCGCCCTTGGCCTTAAGCTGAAAACAGTCGGTATCGATGATTGTAAAGCGCAAAGCGCCGAAAGCGTGAATTCTTGAATGCAACGATGCGCACTTTGTTGTCCACACGAAGGCTTTTATTCCCAGTCTCATCCTGGATTTCATCTTAGTTCCAGAGTTTCCGCTAAGGTGTCTGTAATTATGACCAGCGCAAAATACGACTTACAAACAGCAGTTAACAGATTAAATGTCCACATAAATCTGTTTGGAGGAGAAAGTGTTTGGTGCCCTGCCATTTCCAGGAACCTTGCCTGGTGGCAAATTGTTGTTTGAAATACACTGATTACTAAAACGCATGTGGTTTTCAAGTGATTTACAGTGAACTTTTAATAGTACGGAGTAAATACACTACATGGACTCACTGAATCTGGTCGCACGTTTGAAAAACATCTCGCACATGGATTGTCGTCGTCATAATCTTCCTCCACAACATCTTCCTTTTTTTTTCCTACAAAAACAAAGAAGTACATGTAAAAGTTTCATGAGAAGTCCAAACGAGGTCTGGATCACTAAAAAATTTGTCAAAAACGTAAAAAGCACCGGCAGAGCCATAGAACTACGTAAGCAAATAAGCAAAAGCACGCAGGATGGCTTCATTTGCGGCATAAGCTTATAGACGTCGTCGTCGTCTGTTGGAATTTTTTTTTAGTTCAGCAGCACCCTCGAACACATCGGGTGGGCGGTCACTTGGCTAACTCTCGAGGGTGAGGGTTTGTTAGGTTTTACTGTAGTAGTAATAAAGCTCTCTATAATTAGTATTAATTCATTCATTTATTTGCAATTAAGCGGGGGGGGGGGGGCAAAAACGGTAAAAATCACGCTCGAAAGACGGACCAAAAAAGGAGACAAGAGAGCAAGAAGGGGGAAAACGAAGCCCCCCGGGGCTTTGCCGCCCCCTCGCCCCAACCCCCCCCCCCCCCTTCCCCCCCACCCCGAAACAAGGTAAAAAACGTGCCTCCCGGCCTTGAGTTCATTTGAAAGCCAAACATTTCTTTATGGGGTCGGCTTGTGTTCTTGCTCTTTTTCTTTTTTTTTTTTTTGTTCCGCCACCCCCCGCGCACGGGGGGGGGGGGGCGTTGTGTGTTCGAGGAGGGGGGGGGGTGTTTTTTTTTTTTTTTTTTAATAAATAAAAAATTTTTTTTAATTTTTTTTTTATTTTTTTTTTTTTTAGGGAAGGGGGGGGGGGGGGGGGGGGGGGCAAAAACGGTAGAAATCACGCTCGAAAGACAGACACAAAAAGGAGACAAGAGAGCAAGAAGCGGGTAAACGAAGCCCCTCGTGGCTTTGCCGCTCTCTCGCGCCAACCCTCACCGCTCGCTTCACTCGCAACTCGAAACAAAGTAGAGAACGTGTCTGCAGGCCTGTAGTTCAGTTGTAAGTCTAACCTTTCTTTCCTTTCTTCTTTCCAGGACTCTTGATATCTCGTTTCTTTTTCATTTCCTTTCGTTTCTCCAGAGCAATTTCCTTTGGATTGACCTCTGACTTCGACTCGAGGAATTCAACAACAGCGACTAGTTCATCAGTTTCGCTGTATGAAAACCAAAGCATTAAGGTGTATGGGTAGACTGTTCACAGTCCCCTATTTTTTCGTGAGATCGTAGAGATATAGCGCGTCTTACCGTTAATGGCGGCCACCTTGATTTTCCTCGCTTCCTCCCAAACCGCCCCCGCCCCCTAGGTAGTTTTGAGACTCATGCGAGATGGCAACCCGTAACGCAAAGCGTTCGATCTCGACGACCTTACGGAAAAATAGAGGACTGTGAACAGTCCAGTGTATGGGCGAATGCTTGTTTACATTTGTTCCCTCATTAACATACGCCTCTAATTATCTGATGAAGCCAAGAGCATCGGCTTCAGGAAATTCTTATGTTAATAGTTCCGATAAACTGTCTTTCTCTCTCTTTGGGGCAAAGCTGTGGAATGAGATACCCTGTCACATCCGACAGCTCCCCAAGAATAAAATTCAAAAAAACACTCCACAAATTACTTTTTGATATTTTGAATTTAGAAGGTGACTATATTGATACGCCCACCTTAATTGAACACGTCAAATTAGCCAAAAATATCGAAAAATAAAGTTTTACTTATTAGTTCTACTTTAACAATTTATTTTTTGATTAATTCGTTCTTCTTTATTGTGTTAGCTAGTCCTCATCCATATTACGATTTTTATTCAATTTATTTGTAAACTGTAAACCTTGCTTAGTTAACCTTAGTCTTAATTTCATATTTTGCACTCACTGTCCCGCCTCGAGTAGCCCTGCTAGCTGCGGGCAACACTTCTGTAATATTATCTTTTTATTAATAAAGTTTGTTGTTGTTGTTGTTGTTGTTGTTGTTGTTGTTATCTATAATAACAGTCCCAGAAGTCTTTGCGAAGGTTGACTCGGTCCAGTTTCCTCTCTTGTATTGCCTTACTGTATTCTGCTATGCGCAGTACCTTCTGTATTTTGGAATAGACTTGTTTTATCTACACATGTACTTACCCCGCTAACAATTTCCACGATTCACAATTCACTTCATCTTCCTCTGTGGTATACACTCGCACACCATTACAATCGTCCTTTCAAAAACAAATAATACTTTGAAAGCTCATTTCCCGACCTTAGAAATTGAAAAAATAAATCTAAAAGTCTCTTAGAGTGGATTTCCCCTATCGCGTAATTTTTACGTGCGTAAATAAACTAGAGGCATTGTATATAAAAGGCCTCGCGTTAACATAAAGTCAACTACCTTTTCACGCGACCTTCCATTCATTGTTAGACTGCAAAACGGCACGTACTTGGTCTAGGTTGAGAACGAGCGCCCGAGCGGTCAAAAGAAAGGTCAGATGTGAGAGTGAAAACGGATTGTGAGAATACATTGCCTCTATATTATTAATACGTGCTCCATAAACCGATTGGTTTTGTTGAAATTGTAAACTATGACGGGTTAGATCAAACGGTGTTACAACTGACAGCGCTACTCGTCAAACATATCATGGAAAAGGAGTGACAGACTCTTCTTGCAGGGAAGCAGAAAAATAAGATTTTGTTCAACATTTCTGGGATGACTCCCTGCAGGAATTGTAAGGGGTCTGTCACGGATTAACCCAAAATATCCCACTGCCTGAGAAAGTCCAACTAATTAGCAATCAGTTGATGAGGCTGGCTGAGTATAATCTGAAGAATTATGCTGATCGAGGAGGGTTTTATTCTCTGGCATTAAATAAAGAATAACGGGAAGGAAGACAAGTGTCTCCCTTGCGCGCTGCATTTTTTTCTTGCATCCATTTTATTTTTTTTTGCACGTGCTATGAAGGCCAACTTTAGCCAATCTGAAACGGGGAAATATTCTCAATGTATAATTTGCCTCACTGATAAAATTCACTGAATAAGTCTCTGATACCTCATGATACCAGTAAATAAATCCATCCAAATCTCGTCCAATGGGCTGCATGCGAAGATCCTCAGCATCAAAACCTTTATTTACTGAACTCTTGAGTTTTTCATTCTGATCAAATTGGCATTCAAGTAACACCTGCAGATAACAAAATAGAAACAAAAGACTACAACAACCATTGAATCTCCTTGTACAGAAATATCTTTGTTAGGCTGTTCCAGGCTCCAAGATGGAAACATACAGAGATCGTGGAAGACTTGATGCAAAAGACAAGCAGAGGATGGAGAGAGACAGAGAGAGGAGGCCACTATCACCTTCCCCATGTCCCAGTTACAGCGCATCTTATTTTCACTAGGCCTGTTTTGGTAGCCTGTGTACCAGGTGCTTCGAGGTAATGGGCGCAAGAAAGAACATGCGTGTGTGAGGGAGACGCAAGGGGAGAAGGAGCGCCTGCCTGAGAAGCCCATGAAAATCGTTTCCCACCCCAGTCTAATTACCTGGCAGCTGCTGCAAGATCCATCAAAAATTTTGACAGAAAACAATTCTCTCGCCTCAAATGTCTCCCTCGTGCAACCCTGTTTTTTCCTGTGCCCATTACTTCCAAGCGCCTGCTATGCAGGCTATGTTTTCATGACATCCCAACTATCAAAATGAAATTTAGGTTAAAATGTTTTAACCTAGGTTGATTCTCATTTTCCTTTGTCTCCTAGTCCTAATTCATGAATAATTAGGTCTAAGAGACAAAAGAATTTAACAGAGAATCACTCTAGGTTTAAAATTATTTTAACCTGAATTTAATTTTCACCTGTGACATATATACCAAGCTACAGTGAATGTTATTCATGCATTCACTTGGCTTATACATGTACATCTGCAAAAAAAATCCAGTCCAACTTGACGGTGCTCCAGTAAACTTATAGAAAAGAGCTATAAACTAACCACCCTCCTCTGTCTCTACTTTAGCTTAAATTGCATCTGTGAAAAAGCACTCTGACTACTTTTAAGGTAGGCTTAGTCTTCAGCCTTGGGTGTCCCGAGTACCGCAGGCGTATTGAGACAACCCAAGGCTGGGGACTGAGCCTAACTTTAAGTGTCACAGCTGTGTAGCTCATTTTGTTAATTTTGCCAATTACACGTGCTATGGCCTTAACCTAAGTGAAGATATAACTGGCAAATGACAAATTCACAACTTTTTGTCTTGAAAACAAACAATGTCTCCCAAGCATTGCAACCGATGTAACAAATAACCAAAAATAACTTTGAAAAACTTTATGCTGACAAGTTTTCAAAAACCTAATTTGCAACTCATTTTAATCTGCTTTAAATTTGCCCATCCATGCCTTCTTTTGTATATACTGTGATATTTCTTTCTTTCTTTAACGTTTTGAGCAGCTATTTTTATATTTCACTCAATTTAAGGCAGTTCCCACATTGCAAACTTTGATAAATTTCATGACACAGCTCCTTTGAGAGGAATTGCCATGATATATGACTTTTCATTGCAATAAATTACATGTACATTTTAATCCACAAAATAAACCAGTTGACTGTTTGGAGTGTGGCTTTTGCACAGGTGCAGTCTATATGTAGGTAAATACTAATATGTTAACAAAAGGCCATGTGAAAATTCAAAAGATGTTTTTCACAACCTTAAAGAGTTCCAGCTTGTATGAAACTTCTAGTTCCTGGTAGCCAAACTGCTCTAAATCCCATGCACAGACCAAGCCATGTTCTTTAGCAACCTTGAAAAACAACAGTTTCAAATGAATAAAACATGTTACTCAACTTTTGGTACAATACTGAGGGATACATGGGGGGTTGAGAACAGTGGGGGTGTGTCAAAGCTATTATCACAATAGCTACAGTGTATGCAAAGATGTCCTACTCCGGAGAATTTCTAGAATGAACACACTGCACAAAAGGAAAAAAACAACAGCCTGTAGTATCTATTCTTATTATGTGAAACTGCAAAGTTTTACAGTAAAAGTATTTTCTCTCACTTAAGGTAAGATTTGGTCTGGTTATTGATTATTATTGATAGATACAAACCTTAAGCAGAGATTTTTCCCATCTTTCTGGGTTTACAGATACTCCAATTCTTCTTAAAAGCTTCCTAAAAAGTTCTTCAATCAGCAAAACATTGCCTAGAAAAGAATACAGGCTAAACAATCAGTCATTTTTCTTGTACTATAAAGTTGGCAGAGACACTGAAGGTGTCCTTTCACTAATTTTTAACAAGAAAAAAGTTACGATAACTAGTGCAAGTTCAGGGCTTACGGCTGTCACCAAGCTAAGACGTCAAGTTGTCAGGTATATGTAATTAGTAGGCGGGGAATTCAACTGCCAGAAAAAATCTTTTGGTTCTAATCTAGTTTTGCTTCCCATGAATGTTCAGTGAAATTGTTACAAATAGTTATGGTGAGTCCCAGTCCAGAACCAATGAGTCTTGGTTAAAAAAATCAAGTCCACAATTGAAAATGCTCAGGCCTTTATGTAGCCAGACAGTTAATCTGAACACAGACTCCAAAACTCTGTATTACAGTACATTGAAATTAAAATACAGACCTTCTATTATAAAACACAACAAAGGCTTAAAGAAATGTGCATTGTTAAACAACAGCCATAATAACTGCCACAGAAATTACACGAATGGGATATTTCTACAAATACACATGTTCAGATCAATCGATCAATCTTTGCATCCTACAGGATGCATGCCATGAATTCTTTTGCTTCTTTGGGAATTTTTATGTGTCATGGATGCAGGACGCAGAGGCACATTTAACACAATCACTGAAAGTTACCAGGGGTCATGTTTGTAGTAGCTGGATAAAATCCCTGGTCCCTGGCCCTTAGAGCCAGCCCTGTATGCTGCTTCTATGAAAGGTATTACCAGTATATCACAAGGGCAAATCCAGTAAATTCACAAAGGAGCAGCTGGGATACTTGCCAGCTAGATATGGAAACTATTTCACGAGCAAAGTGTGAGATTTAGAAGGTCTCTGCACGGGAAGAAAAGTTAGAGCGAAGAAAGTGCTCAAAACAAGCGGGGTCTCGGAGCTGTACTCCCCCAGAAAATGTTTAAATTTAGGGTTCCGAAATTACCACTTCCAGCATTTTCTGCGGGACATTTTCAGTATGTAAATATGAAGGAAAATGCAGTGAGGTTGCAGGGAAGGCACATCTTTTCGTTTTTCATCCCACTTTAACATTTCTTACTGATTATGATAAAAGGATAAAGGATATACTTACACACAAAAAAACGGAACATTCTGCGAAAGAGTTATCAGTCATTCTGATTTTAGGATAAAAAATGCTTTCAAGAAATAAAAAGAAATTCCAGATTTCTGCTGTACATGCAGGCGTGCGTGCATACACAGACGTTACACTTCTGCAGTAGTTTTAGTCTCAAGACACTATAATACCGTAAAATTCTGAAAATAAGCCCTTCCATGTATAAGCCCCTCCAAGTATAAGCTCCCCAATCCGGTAACACAAAAAATCCGCCATTAAATCGCCCCTCCAAATATAAGCCCCCCGGGGGCTTGTACTTGGAGAATTACCTACCCTCAGATACAAAGCAAAACAAAGCAAAAACACTAAATTTACTTTCAACTATAAGGCTAGCTCAATCGATTTTGAAAGACACATTTCCCTCCGTAGATAAGCCCCCTCGAAAATAAGCCCCTCCAAAAGGCCTTTGAAAAATATAAGCCCAGGGGCTTATTTTTGGAATTTTACAGTATTCATTATTGTTAACCCTTCACTTCTTGTCCCAAGAATGACCACATTGATTTTCTCAACAGTTTTCATAGAGAATCAAAAGATTATGTTATGAGAATTAAATTAAGTGATCACCTTCTAAGAGAAAATGCTTTGATCTTTGATCAAGTTCTTTTAACTGCATCCTTAAGTAAGTGGATATCACGGCTTAAGGGAATAAACATGGGTCTGTGATGTTTTGCTATAATATCTCACGTATAATAATAAAAATTAAATGAATTCATTGTTCATCCCTGAAGATCTTCTTACACAAAATTTGTAAGAAGATCTAATGTCTCACCCCTAAGGAGATCCAATTTTTTTACATTACTCCTGGAGAATTCTGTCTCCCCTCACCCTGGGAGGGTGCAAAAGTTTTATCCAATGTAGCCCAATGTGAACACTTATATGTATCCCAATAAGTAATCTCACAATGATCTTAAGTGTACATGAGCTCATGTTATTCTTTAGGTCTACTTAACTGGTACTTTCCTAGTACACCCACCTATAAAATGGAAGATATGCCATTATATTCTTTTAAAAAATTGGAAGTATCTGTATATAATAACATTTAAGCTTCGCGAAGATCCGATTTTCCGACCCAGATGTTAAAACGATTATCATTACGGGAACCTCGACGGCAACAAAAAATTAATTTTTAAAAATGATCCTGGGAAATGACCAAGGTTTGTATAAATTCAGCCCCGAGGCCACTGAGAAAAGCGCGCCAAATAATCACAAAAATTATCATATTGTCGTCAATGCTGGCGATATTTCTTCATACAAACGTTGCTTGGGCCGAATGAAATCTACAGACTGACAGAAACGTGCAGTATTTTCGGCGAGATTAAAAAGGAATTGAGATGGTCACACAATTTGGAGTAACGCAGAGCAAGTTGAGCTGTAAGTTATAAACTCAGTTGGGGAAGTGACAATGAAAAGAAACAGTGCAGCTGTCTAACAGCTCAATAAAAGCGCTTTGTTCGGCCGTCTAACAAAAGCTAAATGTACCGGAGAAGCGAAATACAGCCATTCGTGGAATTAGAGCCACAAAAGGGAACTAGCCAGCATTTTGTTGGAAGTAAAGAGGATTGGTTAAAATAATTTCCCAGAAAAACGCCCTAAATGCTGCAGATAAATGACACATCAATTAAAATTTGACCATCAATTAGGCTTACCGTTTTCAGAATTATGGCTGTTGAATCCATCCTCCAGGTCATCTAATGAAAGATCAGGGAAGTGCAAAAGGTGCCTAAAGTTCTCCAGAAATGACCAAATAATTGCAAAGTCTGGATATTCGGCAGCTCGACCCGTCTTCTGCGTACCAAACTTTACAGTACCCGTGTCTTCCTCGGGATCGACTTCACTGCTTGCAGGAGTAGACGCCATTTTGATGGCAAATAATATATGCTGGGATCCAGACTTCCTCTTCTTTGATGGGTTACTATTCCCAGGCCTCGGGCCGGAGCGTTCCTTTCTTTCCCCGCCCCTCGCACTTTCAAGTGCGGCTCTCGTGTGAATTCTCGCGACTCTCCCCGCCCAAAAAAGAGTTTGCTCGCAGGCTATAATCCTGTCGGCTTACTCTTTTCAGACGAGTTGCAAGAGAAATTACTTATTGTTACAGGGCCTTTACGCAATGCAAGTCACTGTCGACAAACAGTTAATCACGCCGTATCAGGTACAACAAGGGTCCGCCAAGTTTTTTGGGGAAGCCTGAGGAAATTACATAACCATTGCCTTCCGAAGGGATCTCCTGCCAACTCTTTTGGAAACAGGGGGAATTGTTGAGTTTTTCGGGAACATCGTTTTTTTTATGGCTTCTTCATAATTTGACTTTCAGTCTTTTATATCAGGCAACCCTTTTGCTCAGGGGCACCCAACGACGGTTTCCTCCTAAATGCATTGAAGACACTTTTTTGGCTATCCAGAGTACTTTTAAAATTAATAAATTTTCTGAAAACCTGACTTCCTTAAGAATCTTCACTTTAAAAATAAAACAGATTCTTTGAAAATATCACACACTACCCTCCCTTTTCTGAGCAGCACTAATTTTACTGCGCAGTAAACAGCTTAAATATTAGCTATGAAAAGTTTACTCACCTGAACAGAACGGCGTTTTCTGCGACTGTTTTGCAAGCTTTCAAATCGCTAAAACTTTCATCTTAAAGCTGAAATGTTCAGCTTTCATTCGAAATACTTTGTTTACCGAGAACTGAAAAGGGCGCCTCAAAAATTGAGTTTTTGTTTCAAGTGTCCGGATACTGGTACCGTCCAGATACTGGGCAACATACTGTATTCTACACAACTTTATTGATATTTGGACTCAGAGCTAAGCGCTCCCTTTCAGCTTCATCAAAATATGAGTATATTTACCGGTAAACCACGAAGCTTATATCTTTATACTGAGTGAGTTAAATGCAGAAATGAAATTAGTAACGCGACAAAATTTATACTGTGAAAGGTTTGAACCCTGGCCAGGAGTCACTTCATAAGTTTATTCTCAAACTTCTTGACAAGATTAAATTTTGAATGTACAAGTTTAGTGAATATATGTGGTATTTTCGATATCTGGCATAACACTGATGACTTCCATAAATCTCAACGATTGGGATTGACGACTGGCCCTAAAAACGAGCGTAGGAGACTATCTTGAACCAGCTTACACAGCGTAGTAAACACTGAGAACCACAGGAAAGTACAGCTCGATAGTTTTTCTTTCAAATGCACGGAAAACTTTAGAACTTCATTCACACGCAGACTCAGAGTTTGGATAGAACTGTTTTATTGAGTCATAATAGCCATGGTTGATAACAGGGTCCCTTATTACTACACTCTGTCTAGCAAGGTCGGCGTATAAGAGTGTGTATGGCATGTTCGGGACAGTTTAGTTTCAGAGCCGATACTCACAAACAGGATCTTATACACTTTTATCTGGATTCATGTACTTTTTTTTTCATGTTCTTTAAACAAGTCCGTATATAGATAGGAATCCTTTCACCTTAGGAATGCTATCCATGGTATAGCCGCTGCATACATTCAGCCGGAACTTAGTTTCTTTGAAATCGTAAGGCGCATATAGCCTCAGATCGTCAGGTGGGATTTTGCTAGCATCGCCAACATTTAGAACTAAGGTCACACTAGGCGATAGGTCCTTCCAGGTGGCTGTACCCAAGTTATGGAATGCTCTACCGCGTGAGCCTCGCAATATTCCAAACTGGTATACTTTTAAGAGCAATCTTAAGACGTACCTTTTGAAGTTTGCTTACGTTTGAATGAATTTTTATTGTTACATATCGATATTTTAGATTTTCATGGTGGAAGTGTATATATTCTTCTTGCTTTGAGTAGCGTAAATAGGTTTGCAGTTTGTTTTTTTTTCATGCTTTTATTACTAATGTAATGCGCATTTGATCATTTTTATGAATACCTGCGCAATATGAGTAATTAAATTATTAAGCAATGCAACTCCGTGTACCCGTGTAGACAGTGCTTATTGCACTCCCGTATTTTGTTATCCAGTGTGCGTGTAAAAAGATTGAGAGCTGGGGATAGTGTGTCTCAAATATTGCGCAGAATCTGTGCGTAAACTCTCTCCAGTCATCCTTGCTTTTAAAATCTATCTGCAGTCCCAGCATTCTTGGCAGTCACGGCTTTGTGGCGGATAGGGCCGCGTGACTTGAAGAAGAACTTAGAACAAGGCTCAGGATTAACAGTTAATAAAGCGTTGTTTTAGTCTCGACCTGGGATATCTTTCTCACTTTATTGTTGTTATTTCGCCTTTCCTTGTTTTTGTCTTTTTTGTTGTGGCTGTAAATCTGTGGAAAGTATGAAAAGGTGAATGGTCTGGTCATTTCCATATCTGAAAATAAAACAAATGCAAGGGAAATGAATTTAGGAACCACATAAAGTCATAGAGCAACAACCAAGGGCGATGAGAGACTGGAGAACAAGGGGATTGAGAATAGCCCACTTCCGAGTTCCAAAAACCCTCACTTTCAAAATGAGTCTAGGTGCACAACCTTTCTTGTGAAATTGAGTTTTATTTGAATGAGAATGAAAAATGATTTCCATATCAAAGGCTGCACACCTACCCTCGTTTTAAAACAGAGGCCAGGGGGAATTCGGAAATGGCCTATTGGAGAAAAGTAGAAAAGAGTTGAAAATTATCGCTCCTTTCGCTCTTCCTCCCTCAACGGATTAAGTAACACTGCCAGTTACTAAGTGGCAGTGTCAGTTATTAAGTAGCAGTACCAGTTACAAAAACAGTTCTTCATCTGATAGCCCTTACAGGGCACCGTATTCCTCTCCTCACGAACCAGAAGCTTGATAACAGGACAGCGACTTAAAAAGAGGGACTACTTTGGTAATAATATAAGTTGTCACTTTGCTAGCCTGTGCCAAGACTTCTCCAATAACTTTCTTTCCTTCACGCCGCGAACGGACTATTGAAACGGCCGTTGCCAAATGTGTTTCACTTTTAGCTGTTTTCACAGGATTTGAGAGTGTGTTCCGATTTAGTTGGTTACGGCAGTTGAACTCAGATTGTCTATTATTATAAGCATTGCCAGAAATAACTTATGTAAAATCAACTTCAGCAAGATATGCATTGTCGCATCAATATACTTGCTCAGCAATTTTACAATGTAAAGCCCCAGGGGAATTCATATATGCACGAATTGGGCCGAGATTTTCACCTTATCTCGTGAGCAATGCAAACTATACTGTAGCTCTTTCTGTAGCTCTTATTTGGCTGTCTGTTTTAGAATAATATCATTTAGGAGTTAAACAAAGCTTAAACCAGGCCCAAACTTTAGAGACCCCCAAAAATGGGACCAATTTGGGCATGGCTTAAGCTTAAAACACCCCATTTCATTTAGGGCCATAAGTACAGTTGGACTGTAATTGTGCACCCTATTGAAATTAAAGTGTTATTTATATTTCACATGGAGTTTACCGCCTCGCTCTCTCTCCCAATTGGCATGGAGCAAAGGAATTAGCAATTATAAAACGCCTTCAAGCAGGCTTTTGTTTAGAGCCTAGATCCCCAATCGAAACTTACTGAACTCCTTTTTGAGATCCAATCCGTATTTGTTGGTCATCTCCTCGGACATGTCAGAATCTCTAAGATTCGCTTTTTTCCCATCTTTCGCGTCATCTAATTGGCTTGTGTTCAACTGGCTCTCATTGCTTGCGGGACTCTGATCATCTTTAATCTTCTTTCTCTTGGAACCTCTCCCGACTTTTTTCTTGGGTTTTAAAATTTTCGGGAGTTTTTTCGAGTCTTCAAGAGTGTACAGTTGAAATGATGTGTCGCTCAACTTTTCTGCAGACAGTGCTATTGCACTCCCGTATTTTGTTATCCAGTGTGCGTGTAAAAAGGTTGAGAGGTGGGGATAGTGTGTCTCAAATATTGCGCAGAATCTGTGAGTAAACTCGCTCCAGTCATCCTCACTTTTAAAATCTAACTGCAATCCCAGCATTCTTGGCAGCAACGGCCTTGTGGCGGATAGGGCCGCGTGACTTGAAGAAGAACTTAGAACAAGGCAGAACAAGGCTCAGGGTTAACAGTTAATAAAGCGTTGTTTTAGTCTCGACCTGGGATATCTTTCTCACTTTATTGTTGTTATTTCTCGTTTCCTTGTTTTTGTCTTTTTTGTTGCGGCTGTAAATCTGTGGAAAGTATGAAAAGGTGAATGGTCTGGTCATCTCCATATCTGAAAATAAAACAAATACAATGGAAATGAAATTTAGGAACGATATAGAGTCATAGAGCAACAACCAAGGGCGGTGAGGGACTGGGGAGCAAGGGGATTGAGAATAGCCCACTTCCGAGTTCCAAAAACCCTCACTTTCAAAATGAGGCTAGGTGCACAACCTTTCTTGTGAAAATGAGTTTTATTTGAATGAGAATGAAAAATGATTTCCATATCAAAGGCTGCGCACCTACCCTCGTTTTCAAACAGAGGCCAGGGGGAATTCGGAAATGGCCTATTGGAGAGGAGTAGAAAAGAGTTGAAAATTATCGCTCCTTTCGCTCTTCCTTCCTCAACGGATTAAGTAGCACTGCCAGTTACTAAGTGGAAGTGCCAGTTATTAAGTAGCAGTACTAGTTTTTCATCTGATAGCCCTTACAGGGCACCGTATTCCTCTCCTCACGAGCCATTAAGCTTGATAACAGGACTGCGACTTAAAAAGAGGGACTACTTTGGTAATGATATAGGTTGTCATTTTGCTAGCGTGTGCCAAGACTTCTCCAATAACTTCCTTTCCTTCACGCCGCGAACGGACTATTGAAACGGTCTTTGCCAAATGTGTTTCACTATTAGCTGTTTCACAGGATTTGAAAGTGTGTTCCGATTAAAGTTGGTTACGGCAGTTGAACTCAGATTGTCTATTACTTTATACATTGCCAGAAATAACTTATGTAAAATTAACTACAGCAACATATGCATTATCGCATCAATATACTTGCTCAGCAATTTTACAGTGTAAAGCCCCAGGGGAATTAAAATATGTACAAATTGAGCCGAGACTTCCCTTATCTCGTGAGGAATACAAACTATACTGAAGCTCTTTCTGTAGCTCTTATTTGGCTGTCTGTTTTAGAATAATATCATTTAGGAGTTAAACAAAGCTTAAGCCAAGCCCAAACTTTAGAGACCCCCAAAATGGGACTAATTTGGGCTTGGCTTAAGCTTAAAATACCCCATTTCATTCAGGGCCATAAGTACAGTTGGACTGTAATTGTGCACCCTATTGAAATTAAAGTGTTATTTATATTTCACATCGAGTTTACCGCCTCGCTATCTCTTCCAATTGGCATGGTGCAAAGGAATTAGCAATTATAAAACGCCTTCAAGCAGGCTTTTGTTTAGAGTCTAGATCCCCAATCGAAACTTACTGAACTCCTTTTTGAGATCCAATCCGTATTTGTTGGTCATCTCCTCGGACATGTCAGAATCTCCAAGATTCGCTTTATTCCCATCTTTCGCGTCATCTAATTGGCTTGTGTTCAACTGGCTCTCATTGCTTGCGGTGCTCTGATCATCTTTAATCTTCTTTCTCTTGGAACCTCTCCCGACTTTTTTCTTGGGTTTTAAAATTTTCGGGAGTTTTTTCGAGTCTTCAAGAGTGTACAGTTGAAATGATGTGTCGCTCAACTTTTCTGCCGTACTTTTCTTGCGAAAATTCGAGGTTAAGTAGCCGGTTTCTCCCACAATTGTAAGTCCATTTTCCAGCTTATTTAGTTCTCGGTCTTTTTCTTTTGGCGTGTATGGATAAGAACCGTCATTTTCGCGGGAAGAAGACGTTTTCCTCGAAGATGTTGAGCTTCTTGCAGATGGGATTGGAGGCATACGAGACTCCTTCCTTAACCTTGAACTCTACGTAAAGGAAATAACAAAATGAGTTTTAAACAGAGTTTAAACTGAGGACTCATACTTTAATGCGACTTGGGGAACGCCAGTTACAAAAAAAAAAATTGTCTCTTTACCAGCCTGCGTGGCAGGCGCCGAAGGGGAGGGGAAGTAGGGAGGGAGAAAAGCGCAATCCCTCTCTTTTTTCCCTTCCTCACTATCCCCTACCCCTTTCGACGCCTGCTACGCGGGCTAGGGGCTTTCGCAAAGGAACTCATTTTAAAATGTTCGTACGTCTCAGATCAAATTGAATTTGGGAGAGTTGGTTTCTAAAGAAAGGGAAAATACCCCAGGGGGTACTACTTATATAATGGCTTTGATAGCCTATACGGGGAGCCTACGCCCCAAAGGGGTACCCTTTTCACCTTTTTCAGGCTAGGGATTTTACTACAAGTTAAAGTATGAGCAAGGGTCAGGGAACTCTGTCTTTTCGGTCAGTAACCTTAAAGGGCTAACAATCCCATTTGATGGCTGCGAAAAAGCCAAGAAAATTTTTTGGTTAAAGGTTGTGTTATATGGGACGATTCGCAATGACGATTTTCAGCGCAACACAGCGTCACAACATTGTTGCGACATTGAATCGAATAGTGGCAACGTTGTATCAACATTGCAACGGTGTGTTGCGCTTAAAATCGTCGTTGCGAGTCGTCTCGTGTAACATCACCTTCGGTGATTAATTCTTATTTAAAACACTGCATTGACCAGGCAATCACGTCGTTTTACCGTAGTTGTTTGTGATTGTTGTAACAAGAACCTCAATCAATGAATTGCTTCTAAGATTTCAAAATCGGACTTTTTTGACATTTTTTCCCTTGAAAGAAATTTTAATAATAGCTCTTCTCTATGCCAGCACACCAAACTGGATGATATTTTTTGTACCATTGACGTTTAAAATCCACACAAATTATCTCCACAAATCAATTTTAAGAGTGGATGAATCTAATGAAACTCCCTAATTCCTTGTTTCAATTCTTTGTTTTAATACTTTTGTTTACTTTCCATGAATATATAATTATTGGCGTTTCAATCTTTTCGCTTCTCAGATTTTGTTTTTTAGATGAAGGCAAAAATTAGTAACGAAGAAACTTCAAGGTGGAAATTTCGAATTCTTAAAGTTAAAGGCTGTAAATTTATCCGGTTGCAGAAACAATCAAAATATGTTTCATTTATTTCTTTTGTTAAGACTAATTAGACGAGTCTATTAAGAGCCTACAAGGTGCTAATGCTAATATATCGATTCGGAAATTTGCGCTGAAAACAAACACGAAGGTTAAAAATTCGTATCGCAGTAGTTTAATAGGTTATATTGCGTAAAAGAAAACAAAAAAAAACCTCTTATCTAAAAAATAGGGGCACCAACGTCAATTTTCGGAAAATATCTGTTCGGAAGCCGATTTGAGATCTAGAATTTTCGGAACATTTGTTGTAAAATTTCTTGCTTGCCTGCCTCTCCAGGATTTTCGAACATCTGAAAAATGGTATAATTGTCCGTTTTTACCCTAAAAAGGTCACCTAGAATTTTCGGAAAGATAAGTTTTGATCGCTGTAATTTTCCGATCACTAGACTTTCAGCTAGGAAATCCGAACAGATGAAAAATTTTTAGGGGATAAAAATACGCCTATATCTACCGTTTAAATACTAAAATACGTTTAACAATGCTATGTTTAAGTGGTTTTGAACTATATTCTCGTTGGGTGCCCCTGAAAAAACGTAGTCGTGAAGAAATTAGTTGTAAAACATACAGTGAACCGCTCGTCTCGGAGTTTTGCATGGTCTCTACTTCTTGTTAGAGTTTTGAACATACAGTACTCCGAGAGTTTGTGTTTGTGTATAAGCAAACGAATAAATGTACTGGTTTCTAAGGTCTCAGAATTTATGTATCTTGAAATGTCATCCAGAGCACAAACTTATAGGAAAAAGATGCTGGAAATTCGGTCGGAGTCGCCAACAAACGGCAGGGAGCTACACCGTGTCATTACAGAACGTTTAAATCTTCTGACTTCAGTGACCCTGAAGATCTAATGTTAATTATTAAAGAAACTTCTTATAATCAGATTTGACTATTCATGTGAAACCTACTAACATCACCTTAGTGTTGCTGTGTTAGGATATGCGGGTGAATCTAGTTTTCCTCAGTTTGTAGATGATCGGAAATCCTACTAGACAGTTTGGTCATGATTTCTTTACACTAAAACACTAGTTTGCTCCGAATTCATGCGTATCAAACTTGATATTTTACTTGATCAGGGGTTGATGAATTCTATAAGATGGTTGTAGAACTTCTTAGTACCTGTTTATCACTCTCTGAGCTTCCAAACCGTGAGTGAAGTTTTGCCGTGAGTCCTTGACAGTACACAGTTCCTTCTTGGTTTATATCCTCCCTCGCTAAAGGCTCGAAAATCGGCGGTACACTAGCCACGGATACTTTTTTCATCTTGCCGCGGTTGACCACAAGTTAGGTAAGGAGTGAGTTAAACTGACTCTGAGAAAACTTTTGCGGACAATAATTTGTTTCTTAGAGTTGAAAAGAACTGACACAAAAACTTCAAGAATGCGTGCACATTGTACACTCTTTTCGCCTCTCAGCTGGTGACGATTGCCTTTCCTATGAAAGACCAATATAAATCAGTAAAGTTTCAGCTGTTTCAACTCTCAGGTAGGCTATACATGCAAAATACTTTGCATACGGTACTCGAAAAAACCTCGAAATACCGCAGACGACCTATCTCGCTTGATCGGAAGTAGTGCAATTCATTTCACGCATGCATGCAAAACCTAAAAGAGAATAATTCCATAAAAAATAAGTTTAACAGAAAAAGCAAAAATCTAATAGCGTCATGCTTGCATTATTAGTCTTCAAAAAGAAATAAAACAATTGAAATAGCAATTAACATCAACGCTTAAATGAGGTTGTTTTGAAAAGGTAGTTCATTGTGAAACGGGGTGCCACATTTTGACTGCGAGGGGGGCGTGCGGTTATTAAAATGCTAATAGCTAATTGATGGTTGTCGGTGATGTTTGCACACATGAAAACGTCATGGACGATTAATTCACTTAAGATGTGCTATATTTTGAGCGCGTTTTGTCTGTTAATCACCAGCAACCATGGCGATAGGTGTATGTGGTGAATAAGAGTTAACAAAAAGTTTTTCTTCGTGATCAAGTTATTTTTCGTTTACGTGACATAACTACAAAATCGGAAAATGTTTTGGCCCACAAGGACAAAGCAAGGCAATTGTTAAAGGTGTAATTACGAAACATCGTTTCAAGGTTCGAAAAGGTGTGAAGAGAGCCTTCTTCGCAACCTTGCCACTCGCGACGGACTCATGGAAGGCACGAGCGACTGGAAAAGAATTAAGCTCTCCCTCCTGCGCACCGCTATTCTTTTACGCCTACATTCCTTTCTTGCGCCCACTGCGCAGGCTTGAAAAGAGCACTGTTAAAACACAGATGTACCAACCTTCATTTGAGTGTGGGTTGGGTTCTGTGCATTTTTTCCCTTTTCCTTCCGTCCCCCAACGGGCGAGGAAAAAACCTATTTTCTTTTTTGTCCCCAAACTCTAGAACCGTGACTTTCTTCGCAGGTTACCATAGAAATATCCTGAGCATCAGCCTGTTCTGTGAGGAAGGGGAGACAAGAGCAAAAGGGCGGAATGAGTGCCTTTTTGTCAGGTCTTCCTTCCCGCCCCTTCCAACCCCTCCACCCAGTTAACGAAGGGTGTTACCTTTGAATTGAAGAGCCATGCTATACACTCTTTTGTTTGTAAGGGAAAGAAGTTATTCTTTTTTCTTCGATCAGATATCAGTAAGCGGGGCGAACACCCTCGCCTGGTTCGTTTGTTCGCACACTATCCCAGAAAAACAGCAAAAGAAAGATGGTGTTTACAGTCTTGACAAAATCTACTCTCTACGTAGTCTGAAATGTCAAAGCTACTCCCCTCATTGCGTGACGACGATACCGCTGCGTAGAACACTAAACGAAACACACGACAAAAAGCTCTTAAGACATTTTTATTTTTTTGCTTCTTTTTTACCGATCACTTTCAGAGTTCATTAAGGAGATGTAGAAGATTCTTTTAAGTTGGAAGCCTCTGAACGAGGTAGTATGATACGGCCATTCAAATAAAAGTTTTTCGACGAAACTTTCGCTTGGTACTATAAGTTTCTTGAGATTTTACAAAATGAAATTGGCGATTTTTCTTAAATTATTCTGACTTGTCTTTTACAGACTACGAATGCCATCGTTTGTTTATCACACGGTGTTACGTATCTATGTACCTTCTCTTTCACTACCCTATTATCCTTTTTTACGTTTAAAACTCATAGACTGTCTATGGCTAATAGGGCGAAAGTGTATTTTACTAAAACCGCTCTCAGTTACAAAGGAAACGCTCCTTTTGGTTACTAATCGAAACACAATTGGCACAAATCCAACGTGAACGTCACGTGATCATCCTAGGCCCCTGGTCTGTGGGTACCACCACACCACTCATTTCCAAGGCAGGAAGGCAACAGCAACTTAACCCACGTATAACGGCACGTTAAAAACGGCTTAGCGAGAACTTTCCTTCAGTAGAAGTCGTCATCATTATCATCGTCATCATCATCATCATCATCAATCCCTGTCACCATTGTCCATGGTTTGCTGTTGTTAGCATTGTCTTCATCGTTATCGAGACCTTTTAAAGCCATTATGTCGTCCTCGGCAAGGTCTTCGTCTTCATCGAAATCATCCTCGTACAGACTACGAATCAGAAACAAAAATTGTTATAGTCTAAATTGCATGATTTGTCCCGGCATTGTTAATCGATGAAAATCGGTAATCGGAAATTTGCCGATTAGTCGATACTTATGGATGGGTGATAGTTTATTGAAATCTATTGGTACTGGCCAAATGTCTTGATACCGAGTCATATGTGCAATTTTGTTTATTCCATCGATCGCTATCTATGTCTCAGAGCGTGCAAGCTGATCACTCCCGAAAGTTGTTGAGTTGTAACGATCAACAAGAAAAACAACCGAACACAATCGATAAAAATCAAACGTAGTAAATGTTGCAATCTTGTCGATATTAATCGATGAATGGATATCGATTCACCACGCTGGGTTTGCCTGTACCGATTTGAACCAAAAAGGCTAAATAATTCAGTTAGACGACACCCTACACAACACGTGCTTCCCACGAGTACATGATCATGTGATTTAGGAGTGGTGCGCGCATCCTTAGGACTCGCAATCCCGTGATCCCGAGTTCGAGCACCGGCAGATCACCCTCTCATTGAAATCTGAGCATCCATCGTTTGCACCCAGAAGAGGGCATGCAGATGAACATTTCGGCGGCTACAATTCACACAAAAATACAGATTTGAACCTAAACGTTTCAATTAAAGTTCAAGCGAAATGTTAACTTTGTCATTTGTCATATGTACATTTTTTGGCGACCCCAGTAAGCATGTCCCGATTGCGCTGGAAAATTTGCCAAAAAGTGCTCAAAACGTGGCAAAAAAAAATGCTCAAATAGTGCTCGAATTTTTGAAAAGGTGCTTGAAATTTCGAAGTAATGCTCGAGAGTTGCTCGCAGTTTTTAATTATTTACTAGCAGATGTTCATACATATCCTTACTGTTATTTCTTAACGCTCGATTTTCTAATAGGTGACCACACAAGAAGTGAAACACCAATGCCTTTTTTTTTCAAGATCAACTGCTCCAACGGTTAAAAGGATAATTGCACATTTTCATGACAACAGTTGGGCGACTAGGGGAAATTATTCAAATTCATGATAACAGAATTACTCGGCTCACTAAAAACGTTTCGAAGACAAAATATTGGAAAATTGTAAAAAAGTGCTTAAATGTTGCCCAAAAAGCGCAAAATTCTCAAATTCTGCTCACAAGTCAAGAAAGCGCTCAAGAGTGCTGGAAATGTAAAATAGTGCTCCAAATTCGAAAGAGTGCCCAGTGCAATCGGGGCATGCCTAGTCCCGCGCTGTACAATCCCAGATTTCAATAACAACAAGTGCCACACGAACAGATTGTGGTCTGCCTGTGGTTCGAGTTCTTTTTGCACCACCAGATCGAGTTCTTTCTCGGCAGTCCCGAGCTCAACTCCTCGGCCATAAATGCAAACAGCTTTTCGCCTCCTGTCAGTTGCGGTTTTTACCCAGGCGTTTTTTACTCAGGTTATTTCTTTCTGATTAAAACTGCTAGCAAGAGAAACTAAGGTTAATTTTACACTAGAGGAGATTTTTCCGCGTATTTTTTGCCATCTTACCCTTCCGTTTGCTCATTGGCCCCCTCCTCAGCTACTAACAAATCATATTCCTCCTGTGCGTATCTTTCCCAATCTGNCCCGCCATAAAAAATCTATTTTCAGGAAAACATCAAATAACAACGAAAGCCGTCTCTTGTCCACAGCTAGAGGCGTTTTGCGGCGAGGGATGAAGAGAGACGGCTGCATTCGCAGGCTACACTTGCTCAGACATACTGGTCCTCAGGGCAACTCCATTGCAGAGAAATCTCCATTCTTTCGGAAATTTTTTTTCTGAGCATTATTCAGACTACGTATCACGTTATTCCTCAAAGGAGAAAGAATAACTACTACATGAGAAATTTCTGCAATATGATTGGCTTAGAGCAGTGGTATTTCAGCTTAATTTGAAATACCTACATGTGAAAATTACAAAACTATTGCGGGCAGTAGTATAAACAAATAATAGCATGATTTGTACGTGATATTTGGCATAAATACCACTCGTGATATTTCAAAATTGTCTCAAATTTCACTCGCCAAACGGTTCGTGAAATTACGTATAACAGTTTCGAAATATCACTCGTGGTATTTATGCCAAATATCACTACAAATCATGCTATGACCTATACTAATTCCAGATTAGGACAATGGGTCACAAAGTGGTATTATTTCATACCCTAGCTGCAGCAAACGGATCTCTCTGCTCATATTCCAGGTATTTATCCAGGTTGAAAAACGTATTGAAGAAAATGTACGCCATCTTGCAGTTCTTTAAATCGCTTAATTTTATACAACCTTTAAAAGAAATAAAAACACACAAGATAACAGATTAAACAAAAATGACTAATGAAAGGGTTGACATTTTCTTCAGTCTAAGTGTGGAAACAACACAGCGATAAAATACCCATTTATAAACGGATGCAAAAAGACAATGCGGGAAGTTTAGTTTAGTTTAGTTTAAATCATTTATATTTGTCAAAAAAGAAATTACATAGATACAAACAACAGCAAGCTGACACGAGATGAAGACAGGGCGGGAACCCAAACTGACTTTTAACCCCTACAATGTCTAAAACTATAAGACAAATATGCTAAAATCGTACGATGGAATAAAAAGGGTGTGCGCAATAAGAATGTGCCACAGGTGTAACTATAACGGCCCATAGAAACTTAGCCTGGTCTTTATAGTGAGTGAGCATGTAGAAAACTTTCAAACTTTTGAGCACTAGCAGCATGCAAAATAGAAGGAGGGAGATTATTCCAAGCCCTGACAGTCCTAGGGAAGTACGACCTAGTAAAGTAAATAATCCTGGTTGCATAGTAATTTTTAGGGAGTTATTATAACTCCAAAAATAGAGTAAAAATTTTAGGTACAGGATAACTCCTTTTTTAGGGTTACTTTATCTCCTAATTTAACTCCAAATTTGGGGTCATTTTTACTCCTGAAAAGGAGTTCTTTTTACTCCCAGTCTGGAGTTAACATAACTCCGAAAATGGGGTGATTTTTACTCCTTACATGGGTTGCTTTTACTCTTTTTGGAGTTAATTTAACTCTGAAAGTGGAGTAAAAATTTTAGGTACAGGATAACTCCTCGATATCTGGGGTCATTTTTACTCCTGGAAAATAGTTCTATAAACTCCTTTTTGGAGTTAAAATAACACCCTACAGAATAACTCCACTGTAAGGAGTAAAATTAACCCCACTAGAGGAGTTATTATAACTCCTTGAAAATTACTGTGTGTGAAAGGACAGAAGACTGCAATTTGCAGCGTCGCAATTTTGAATAGTGTATCGAGGTACTGAAAGTCCCTTGTCTGAGTTATTATGCGCGACTGCAAAAAGGATTTCGTCGAACATTGTCTGATGACCGAATGCTATCCTCAGCTCTAAATTTAGTACACTTGCCGCAACTTGTATGGACTTTGGTTATTGCTGAGAAATACTAAAAAGGAAACTGAGGAAATCGAATAATAAATAATTATTTTTTTACGGAAAAGCCTACTCTAACATTATTCACTTTTCGTTTCTTTAGTTTTTATTCCACAAAAGTTCGCAGAGACCGCATCGACCACATGTTGAACTAAGCAAATAAGAAATAGTACCTGGAACTTTTGGCTTAACCATGTCCAACATCTAAAAAGAAATAGAAGAAAACAGAGGTAGATATTTTCAAAATGACCTCAGGTTACAGAGGCTTGGACACCAGTTTATTAGATCCGTGGCAGTGGTAGCCTGTAAGAAAGCACTGCGTTTATGACGAACGAAGAGAGCGCGCGAGCGAGCGTCTCGTTTAGCGTACTTCCCCCACGTATCTTCTCGTGATTCCCCCAAATGGAGAGCTTGCTTTCTGGCTACGACTGTGGGGAAAAGTGGGGGGAGGGGGGGGGGTTTGTTTGGGGGTGATAGGTGGGGGGCCTGTAATGGCAATTCGAAAACGAAAATCAAACTAATCAACGCGGCAATGTCTCATGTCTCTCATGTTTCCACTAGCTTCCACTGCTGAGTTGTGCTCAAAGGGTGTAAAAAGATTTGATTGTTAAACAATTTCTCCACATAAGCGCAATAAGAGTGTAATGATAATGTTAGAGTGAAAGGCATTTTTTTAGTTTTTTTTTCGTGGGGGGGAGGTGACTTTAAAATTGAATGGCTCAAACTATTAATACCCATACCTGACAGAGGCAATCTTGAAACACCATTGTCTCTATACCGAGGGCATCCATCTTGGATACCTGCTCGGTGTAAAAATATTCCAACTCGTACATCGACAGGACACCATCACCGTCCACATCCATACAGCGGAACCAGTACTCAATACTTAAAAGGAAGAAAAAGAGAGAGAGAGAAATAGTAAGATTAAGAATAAATAGGTTTTAATGAGTGTAAACGTCATTGTAGAGTAGAGTCGTTTTAGAAGATCATACCTTCTTGGATGTTTCTTGTCCTCTTCTGAGAGAAGAAACCATACAAAGTCTGGATATGACATCTTTCCATCAATATACGTTGGGCCTCTGCATGATCAAAGGCAGAAAATAAATTAATGTAAGAAAACAGGTATTCTGGGTCATGCTTTCCTAGGCAGCATTGCTAGGCTGTGTAGCTGCCAAATTTGCCGATGAGAGTTGTTGTTTTTTTGGAAGCGGTCAGGCACAAGAAGATTAAGACATTAAGCTTAAAGAAGACAGCCAGAATGTAAACTTTGGCGGCTTGGCAATCGAGCGCTGAAGGCAATTTGAGGCTGTCACTCCCTTACTTAACCCATTTTCCCTCAATGGTAGACAGCTCAGACCTGAAACTAGCTGGTTTTCAGCTGGTTTCCGGCACTTAGTGAGAACCCTGTAAGAGTAAGTCAAATTGAGGCGAAAATCCCTTATGGCTTTGCTGCCAAGAAAGTGCTCTGCGCATAACAATCCCGCTAGCTATTAGACTGTGAGAAGTCTCTTATTTTTTCATCCTGAGAACTCCAAAATTTCATAAGAAAGAATTTTATATGGACATCCGCATATTAAAACGTCTGACAATCCATACATTTTTTGTAAAGTTTTAAGTACTATATTTTGAATGTTTGTATCTTGGTCAATATTGGCCATCTTGAAAAGTGTGTCTGGTTTCAGTTACCATACTCTCTTTATGGGGATTGAACACTAACCCATCGCCCAACCCTGAACCTGGAAGGCCAGGTGTTGCAATTCGTTTGGCCTTTCACTTGAGACCTGCCCAGCATGGTTGAACCGGTGAAGGATTGAGATTCCAACTGGTATAGCTTCCAGGATCACCAATGCACACAAAATACCTCAGCACATTAGGGCACAACAAAGTCAAATAGGTCTGTATGCACTTAACCTGGGATTAAAGTTATCTGAACTTCAAACAACTCAATGACCTACTAAAGCTGAGCTACATCTGTCATGTTCTTACCGTGTGACACATCCAGAAAACAGTCTCTTTATAATCCTTGATGACAAAGCTAATTTGGAAAGACAAAAACAAAATTCACTAACTTTGCTCACTAAAAAAATACAACAATAATATCAATATCTTCATTAATATCAAAAGAAATCTACATAATACAGTGTTGAGAAAACAGTTGTCAGTGCTTTAGCATGAGGAAGCCCCCACAATAATTTTCACTGGCATGTTTAATTTGGTCAGGGGCCATGCTCTTCACGCTGCTCTTTGGTTCAATGTGTTCATTTTGGTTCGATAAAGCATCAAAATTATTTATTTATGGCTTCAACAAAGAAAAATTGCTGGAAATTGACGCTCTCCGAAGGCTGAAAATGCTATTTCAGAGACCCTACAGTTCAAAATCTTCCGGGGAAGCACACACCCGGACCCCCCTAACAGCTTGTACCTTCGGCACTCATAATTGGCCCCCCTAATCTTGCTACGGCACTGCTTGTTGATCAAAATCAAGGCTTATTACCATACCAAAAGACAAGAGAGTGGTAGATGTAGTTGCTAATGCCAATACAACCTTTGAAGGTTGAGGGTACGATAGGCTCACAGCAACTCCATAAAACGCCAACATTTTTAGCCCTTTTAAGTCCCAAGAGTGACCAAAATCAATTTTATCCTAACAATATTTGATATGTATCACATATAAGAAAAAAGGTTATAAGAATTAATAAAATAATGACCAAAGGGAAAATGCTTTGATCTTTTATCAGATTCTCTCAACTCATTCTTCAAGGAAATGTAAAGAGATCAGTCTTGAGAATTTGTGAGTGGATAATGTGGCTTGAAGGGGAAGACTACTGGTGGGACATGGTCAGGACGTTTTCTGGGACAACCCAATGGATGACAATACAAATCAGGATATTATAAGACGCTTGAATGTCTCCTTAAAGACATATCTATGAATAACAACGAAACCTTTTCTCTGGACAGTTCTCTTGGTCCTAAAGATACCAAATTTCACACAATCCCCTATGTCTGATCTAGGATTTTCAGCTAAGGGGGCAACGTGTCCCAGTCAACAATATTTCGAGGGACATTTTGCTTTTTTGGGGGTAATTTTTTTTTAAAATCTGATGTACGAGGTGAATATGTTACCAACAATGTCATATTCTCGGAATTTTGTTTCTTGCTTTACTTTTAATCTTCTAAAATTTAAATCAAAATATTGTTTTAAAACAATTTTGCATGAGGAGGAATCACATTTTTTGTTTCTTTTTCTTTTGAAACACAATTTGAAGTGTGCCAAAATGACCCAGAACAGGTTTTTGAAGGGGACATCTTTGCTCAAAGAGCGGCAATCCCGCAATGGTGCGCTCAAGATCAGACACTGAATCCCTAACTCTTTTTGGCCCTATAATAAGACAGGGTTTTGTCGTAATGGTTCTCCAAACAATCTCTGCACTCTTTACCTCTCTATTATGGACTCATAGACAGATTTAGGGGCCGTCTAAGGGGACTGTGGCAAACCTTTTTCGGCAAAAGTTTCCATCATTCTTGACGAATTCTCAGTAAAATTTATAGTGTCTAGTGTCCACACCCCTCTTTCTTAATGCTCTGAATCCACCCCTGTGGACAGTGCTGTTGATGAACATGAAGAATTCCATACTATCCCTACCTCTATTATACATACGGCAGCACCTCTAATAACAGGGTACCTTGCTATAATAGACCCCTTCACAGTTGTGAGGGCATGCTGGGTAATCAGGACAAGATGATGGGGAAGTCAAAAGTTTGTATGGGAATTCAAAGTCAACTAATTCTTCCTAATTGAATATATTTGTCACTTTCTATTTGCAGACTTTAACTAATGAACTAAAAGGAACTATATACACTAAATGTGGAGGGCACAGCAGTCCTTTGATGATTTTTAGAAAATTTGACTTCTTCCATACATCATGGGTAATTTTTGTGTTGTAGGATTACAGAAAATGTATGGAAGAACTCAGGTTTTCTAAGAAGCAAGAAATGATTGCTATGCACTCCAGATTTAGTGTGTAGTTTCTTTAAGTTCATTAGTCACATTTTTCAAAGGGAAAGTGACAAAATATATATTCAATTCATATTAGCAACAATTAGATTTAGTTGACTTTGTTCTCCCATACAAACTTTTGATTTTCGCACCATCTTGTCCCAGTTACCCATGTCATTACAACTGTGAAGGGTTCTATGGAAGGCATTTATGATTTCCATAGGTCACACCAAAAGTTATAAAATCAATACCACTATAATTTGGTCACTGCCCTTTTTTAAGAACTGTTGTTTTTGTATCAGAGATACACTTACCATGGTTATTATGTCTCATTAAATCGTTCTCATCAATTAACAGGTCATGGTCTGAATCTAGCTCCCAGAATTTACAATAAATTACGTAAAAATGCTCATAAGAAAAATAGTCCAGAATCTACAGAGACGAAAGAGAAAATACAAAAGGAATTAGAACCTGAGAGCTCCTTTAACAGAGATTATTATTCATTCAAATCCCCAATTCTGATTGGCTAAAAGCACATGCAAAATTCGCCATAACCAGTTACTGATGACAAAATTTGGAAGAATTTTGTGTCTCTACAGGTTAATGCACCGTTAACTGAGAAGACCTGGGGACGATCAGATTGAGTTGTTTCCGTTGTAAAAACTAAAATGGTGGACACTTCACTCGTTTCACGAGTTAGAAGTACAGCTGGAACTAGGCAAAATAATGGCTAAAAACATGAGCAAAAACAACAAGAAGACAACTCATAGACTGTCTATGGCTAATAGGGCGAAAGTGTATTTTACTAAAACCGCTCTCAGTTACAAAGGAAACGCTCCTTTTGGTTACTAATCGAAACACAATTGGCACAAATCCAACGTCAACGTCACGTGATCATCCTAGGGCCCTGGTCTGTGGGTACCACCACACCACTCATTTCCAAGGCAGGAAGGTAACAGCAACTTAACCCACGTATAACGGCACGTTCAAAACGGCTTAGCGAGAGCTTTCCTTCAGTAGAAGTCGTCATCATTATCATCGTCATCATCATCATCATCATCATCATCATCAATCCCTGTCACCATTGTCCATGGTTTGCTGTTGTTAGCATTGTCTTCATCGTTCTCGAGACCTTTTAAAGCCATTATGTCGTCCTCGGCAAGGTCTTCGTCTTCATCGAAATCATCCTCGTACAAACTACGAATGAGAAACAAAAATTGTTGTAAATTGCATGATTTGTCGCGGCATTGTTAATCGATGAAAATCGGTAATCGGAAATTTGCCGATTAGTCGATACTTATGGATGGGTGATAGTTTATTGGAATCTATTGGTATTGGCCAAATGTCTTGATACTGAGTCATATGTGCAATTTCGTTTATTCCATCGATCGCTATCTATGTCTCAGAGAGAAAGTTGTTGAGTTGAAACGATCAACAAGAAAAACATCCGAACACAATCGATAAAAATCAAACGTGGTAAATGTTGCAATCTTGTCGATATTAATCGATGAATGGATATCGATTCACCACGCTGGGTTTGCCTATACCGATTTGAACCAAAATGTTAAATAATTCAGTTAGAAGACACCCTACACAACACGTGCTTCCCACGAGTACATGATCACGTGATTTAGGAGTGGTCCGCGCTTCCATCGGGCTCGCAACCCCGTGATCCCGAGTTCGAGCACCGGCAGATCACCCTCTCATTGAAATCTGAGCATCGATCGTTTGCACCCAGAAGGGCATGCAGATGAACATTTCTGCGGCTACAATTCACACAAAAATACAGATTTGAACCTAAACGTTTCAATTAAAGTTCAAGCGAAATGTTAACTTTGTCATTTGTCACATGTACATTTTTTGCGGACCCCAGCAAGCATGTCCCGATTGCGCTGGAAAATTCGCCAAAAAGTGCTCAAACATGGCAAAAAAAATGCTCAAATAGTGCTCGAATTTTTGAAAAAGTGCTTGAAATTTCGAAGTAATGCTCGAGAATTTCTCGCAGTTTTTAATTATTTCCTAGCAGATGTTCATACATATCCTTATTGTTATTTCTTAACGCTCGATTTTCTAATAGGTGACCAAACAAGAAGTGAAACACCAATGCCTTTTTTTTAAGATAAACTGTTCCCACGGTAAAAAGGATAATTGCACATTTTAATGACAACAGTTAGGAGACAAGGTGAAATTATTCAAATTCATGATAACAGAATTACTCAGCTCACTAAAAACGTTTCGAAGACAAAATATTGGAAAATTGTAAAAAAGTGCTTAAATGTTGCCCAAAAAGCGCAAAATTCTCAAATTCTGCTCACAAGTCAAGAAAGCGCTCAAGAGTGCTGGAAATGTAAAATAGTGCTCCAAATTCGAAAAAGTGTCCAGTGCAATCGGGGCATGCCTAGTCTCGCGCTGTACAATCCCAGATTTCAATAACAACAGGTGCCACACGAACAGATTGTGGTCTGCCTGTTGCTCGAGTGCTTTTTCTACCACCAGATCGAGTTCTTTCTCGGCAGTCCCGAGCTCAACTCCTCGGCCATAAATACAAACAGGTTTTCGCCTCCTGTCAGTTGGGGTTTTTACCCAGGCTTTTTTAACACAGTTCATTTCTTTTTGATTAAAACTGCTAGCAAGATAAACTAAGGCTAGTTTTACACTAGAGGAGATTTTTCCGCGTATTTTTGCCATCTTACCCTTCCGTTTGCTCATTGGCCCCTTCCTCAGCTACTAACAAATCATATTCCTCCTGCGCGTATCTTTCCCAATCTGAAGGCTCAGTACCTTCACTCTCTTGTAAGTCCTGAAAGCAAAACGACTCAAACTTAGTAAAATTCCACGACTTCGTGGGAATAAAAACATTAACGGAAGGTAAGGGTGACATATTAAATAAGCGTGGTAAACAAAAGGAACACCACGCACTCAAAATACCTGTAGCATCAAATTTCTCTCAAAGATCACGGGACATTGAATCTAGACGAAACTCAACAAAACAAACACTGATCTGTTTCAGCCCTTAAGTGTCGATTCAGCCCTTCCTGGAGCCATTTGAGCACAATTTAGGCCAAAAAAGCTCAATCAAAAGGCTATTCCAGCCCACGGTAGGGCCCATTTCAGCCCTTGGCACCAAATCAGCCCTAGTTAATTGGACCGTATTGGCCCTGATTTAAGGGAGCCAAATTAGACTCAAAAATAGGACTGTATTTTACTCACCGAAACGGCCCCATTTTTAGGGCCAAAACAGATCTTTCTGATTTAGAGTGAAGGTTTGTCGTTCTTTGGCCCCGGCCATAAAAAATCTACTTTCAGGAAAACATCAAATAACAACGAAAGCCGTCTCTTGTCCGGAACTAAAGGCGTTTCGCGGTGAGGGATGATGAGACGGCTGCATTCGCAGGCTACACTCGCTCAGATATACTGGTTCTCAGTGAACCTCCATTAAGGAGGAATCCCCATTCTTTCGGAATTTTTTTTTCTGGGCATTATTCCTGCGTATCACGTTAGGGACCGTTAATTTTTTATGAGAGAGGGGGGGCTGGTGGG